TGATTTCACTAATGTTTCCTTTGATGAGCCCATTTCAGTTTTGAGATCTGATGGGAAAGAAATCTGAGCAAATACAACCACAGGTTTTTATAACTTTGCATATGATTTTCTTATGTTTTAAAATTGAGCTCATTGCACCTGCATTACGATTAAAGTACCTTTATTTGGTTGTTTTGTAGGTACAGCCTGAGATTTGTATCTAGAACCTTTTTTAGATATCCTCTTCGTATCTTGGAAATAAGCAGTGGGAAAACTTGAGCATTCAGTGCTATTAATGCTGAACTTGTGGGATTTCTCTATTCAGATCTGAATCTGAACGAGAGCTTAGTGACCTCGGCCAAGTCTGACAACGCAGAGCTGAAGCTGGAAAGACCTGTCAAATATCAGACCGTTCCTCTTGTTCTCACAGAAATGTGCCTTGTGAGTTCAGGTGAGACTGAGGGCTCCCTGGCAGTGGACTTTCTATCGTGGGCGTTGAGTAAAGTTCTGATTTGCAACTGTGTGCCACCAGATTGATTCACTTTGATTCTTACTGAGGCAGGTGCCACAAAGCCCGAACTGCAAAGCTTTCTGACTGGGTGGGCAGAAAGCTTGGAATAACACCTGAGAGAATATCTTGAGCCACAGGGAGTGTTAATAGGCAAATAGATTTCTTCTGGGAATATATGGGTTTTTTCCTTCTAACTTCCTCCAGAGAGGTTTCTCTCTCAGAAAATGCTTCATGGTACTTGGCAGATGAGAATGGCCCGTAGGAAATATATCTCTCCATTTTGCTAGCCTGCACATATTTGACTTTACACGTTTTCCTAGGAGGACAAGAGCTGGAAGGGGAAGGCTTTTAGGCAGCATATTTGCATGCCTAACAGAGGAATAAATCAGAATATTTGCAAGAGTTTCTAAATCAGCCTCATCCTATTGTACTTTTTCTACTTTCACTTTGAAAGTCTCTTCTCACCTGGAAGCTGGGGTTTTCAAAGGGTTAACAAATAGAATGATGTGGTGCCAGTATCTTGTTTAGCAGGCAAAAGAGATTAGAAAGCTGAGGATTAACTAGGTTTAAATTTCATTTAAAAAATGGTAACTAGTTGAAGATTTTAACTTTGCACAGCGTTTCTCCCCCTTTTTGTGTGTCTACAGAAGTTCATACAGCATCCTTTTGAATGCTTCTGTCATGCTTTATATGTATATGGCATGTATGTACATGTGTTTATTAATTTTAAAATGTAAATAGCTGTTAATATTGAAATTGTAATGAACTGTTCATATTTTATATGCACTTAAACCCTTTTACTTATTTTCTTGTTAGTTGAGTACATTTTAAAAGATTTTATTTCAAAATTTATTGTTACAACACACTTAACTTTAAAATCCAAGGTAGCTGAAGATGATACAGCGGATTGCACAGCGTATAGTATGTAGTCAATTGCTGGTCTTCAAGGTCTACATGTTTTAGAAGAAAAAATGAAAGAAATTGTTTTTAACTTGTACCCATGTTACAAAAACTAATTTAGGATTGTAAGCTGTGCTGCAATTTTAAAATCAGATTAATTCTTTAGGATCTGTGCTTCTTGTGCACCTTTTTGCATTCCTCATTCTGTATTTACTGGACAGTAATTATAAAATGCATGCTTTTTTCAGTCCTCATACATGTATATAGCACACTATATAGCAAAGACAAAGTTATTTTGTAGAACGAGGAGGTTGGCTATAAAGCTCATTACACAGAGCTTGCTTTCTAAAATAAAGGAGAGAACAAGGTAAGAGCTAAACTCTCTTCAGCTTAAGATCAAACTCTCTTTAGGTTTATCTAGATTTATTTTTATTATAATATTATTATCTAAATCTATTTATTTCTATATGATAGAAAACAGAGATAAGCCTTGTGTAAACTGCAATGAGCTTCTGCATAGCTTTTTGTATCTGTTTAACTAAATTAAATGCAAACCTTAAATAAAAGCATATAACTTTCCATCTAGACAACTCTTGGCTGAGTATTTGTTGGCCTAATATGCTAGCAGATATTTACTAATTTTCTCATTGTTATCCTTAATTTGTAGCATATTGTGTAAATGCAATTTATACTTACATATCATATAAATAGCTTTTGTGGTCTAGTATGGCATATACAAAGCAATATGCATGCTAAAATAGATTATCCATGTGTGGCTAATTGCAAGAGAGTGCAACACAGATATATTGTCGTGTGCTCTTGTAATTAAAGATAGGAATGCAATGAACAAGTAAAAGAGAGTGAAGACATACATTCAACCCTGATTTTATATATTTTGCATTCTTTGTTGTGTCCTCTTAATATTCTGTAGTTACTGGAATCTGTATAATGTTTTAAAGATAATTCATTTAGCCAAGTTGCTGGTCCTATAAAGAGCTGTCTTCTTTGCAAGCAAAGGCTTACTTCGAAAAAGGTGATGTGGGACTGAATCTGAGAGCATTCTTGTAATACTGCGATCATATAGCTGCATGCCATTCTGGAACTACCTCCTTCCAGGTTGGAAATGATAATTCAGTGTTTCTGTGTTGTTTCAATAAATATGTTTTACTTGCTGAGTTTTGTTAAGTATAATTCATGTTCTCTGGATAGGACTTTACTTTTTCACGGTTTTTAACTTGGCCACCAAGCCGAGGACAGAAATCTGCAAAAGCACTGATGATAAAGAACACTCTTTACCTTGGAGATTATCAAATACAACACTATTTTTTTTTCCTGAAGACTAGATCAATCTGCTTAATACATACGGAATTGCAGACAGAATTATGAAAATAATTGGTATCAATTATCACACTAGCATTGCAGCAGAAAGATTAAAGGGCAAGTGAACAGAATGTCCTGGCTGCTGTTACTACGTTCCTCTTAACAGTTTTGTATTTTCTAATAACCTGGAGTAAGAGGGAAAAAAAAGGAAGAAGAAAATCCTCCAGCTTATTGTGAAATATCTGCGATGATAGTTTCCCTTGCAGCGAAGCTTTTTAGCTGTGCATAGTTCATGACCTTTAGCAAATCTGAACTGTAAGATAGTGTAAAGATTAATAGCTGATTTAGTTTTCATTAGATTAAAAACATGGTGAGAGAGATTAGTACTGCGAATTTGGTCACTAAGCAAATTCATTAACCCACCCCCC